GGTCAAATCCGGTCAGACCCGGTCAATTCCGGAATTTCGGGCCGGTTAGACCAGAAACCGGAATTCAATGTTACACATATTTTATCCAAAAATAAACACCCTCCTTAGGATTTGAACCAAGTACCTCATGTTCATTTTAGACTCTCTTATACACCAATAGGCTACAAGCAACTTTGTTGTATATATTAATCTTATATATTATATATCTAACACTAAATTTTACACAAATCATTATAAACATTAATAAAATTCATTTTATATACTTTTATTTTTAAGCATCTAATTGTTTAGTATTAGTTACCAATTCTTAGCTATAAATTATTTTGTGTGCAATAATTTTTCTAATTGCTTTTTGATGACTAATTTATTTGGAATTGAGGATTTCCATTTGTCTCATATATGTTATTAAAACCGGCACAACCGGCGTGAATACTGGTTGTACCACGGTCGGACCATTCCACTTTCAAAACCGGCACACCGACATAAACCGGTTTGACAACCTTGCTCCTAACCAATCAAACCAATTAATCATATATCTTATATACTGTATCATACTTAATACTTTGCATAACTACTAAAAAGTAAAGTCTTCCTCCTTTAGGATCCATAAAAAAATCGTTATTGCTTTATGCTATATTTGTTTTTGCATGTATTTATTTAAAGGGTTAACCATGTGTTTATTGTTATTTTATTCCTTATATAAATTATAGGTTGATTCATTATAATGATTTTTTCCTTATGTATTGATAACGTTATGTTATATTTGTTCACTAATTAATTTGATTGTTGTATAAGTTGGATCGGTTGGTCTGGTTAATTCATTAACTTTTTTATCAACTAAATTCAACAAAATCACGTTATTTTATTTCAAGGTCGAAACATAGTAAAAAAGTTAGGAACTTATGCTCCCCTAACCCACCACACGTCAATAGTTCATAAAACAGAAAATAGAGTACGTGTCCTTTTCTGATTAATCTTTCTCTGCCCCTTCCCTAATCCACATATGATCCTCATCATGAGTCATGATTCGTAATTATTTCGTAATTATAAGCACAGTCGTCCACCCTCCTCCACAACAACTATCGTTTTCCAAATAGTGCAATTTTTTTCCTTCGTTTTCTCCCCATCTCCACAAGCTATCATTTTCTTGAATCCAATCGAATCGCCTCCCCACTTTGACAAAACCAGACAACACCGACTAAACACCAAATATTGATTTATGAATATAATCAATCCTTTTATCTCTTGCTTTTCTCTCACGCAGTGACGCTAAAATTTGTCAACTTTCTTCCACTTCCTCCAAAACTTAAACATAATTGAATAGGCCAAAATATGAATTGCTGAGTAAAAAATGATAATACTATAAACGGTGAAATAAAATTGGAAATCAAACCCACGAGATTATTCGATTAATGATATAGTTAAAAATGTATTGGTTCCACTTCTGTCGATATCGTCTCTTTTGATATGGTGTGGTAGGAAGATAACCATTGCTTAGGTTCTTGACGAAGGTCATATAGAATTCTCGTGTTCCACGTGATGTCGATCACATGGTACAATGTTTTGTGGGATAAGTATGGAATTCCAAAGCACTGAGGTTTAATTTGATTGATTATTCAGTACGATGGATACCAAAATCTAGGGTGTTGGTATATGGGTCAAAGAATTGAGGATCGAAATAAGGAGAAGAGATTTGAGGATAATTGGGAGAATATAATTAGAGATTTAGAAAGAAGCTTGGAGGAGAAGAACGAGAGAGATGTTCGGCCGAGCAAGCTCGACAAAAAGAGGGAGACTAGAGGGAGGAGGAATTAGGCATGGGAGAAAGGGAGAGGTAGAAGATTAGGGAAATTATAAGTGTTATTAAAGTCGAGCTGATCCGCTCGGAAGAACCGTCACCCGGTAAAAAAACCGACTCGGAACAGTCTAAAAGTCGCCCTGGTTTTATGTAGCGGTTGGCGAGCGGTCGAGGCGGTTAACCGCTCGAGCCGCTCGTCCGGTTTTTGCCATTCAGCAATTAAATTTAATTAAAAAAATTGCAGAAAATTGAAAATTGAAATAAACTAAAAACATCAGGCTCTCAAATTGAATCCTTATTTCCATTTCACAATTTCAAAGGAAAGAGATGAGGTCTGATTAAAGAATGTCCACTATTTATACTGATAACGTTTATTAGGTACCGGTTCTCTGACGGTTTTTAAAATGTCTAATGCCGGTTGGACCACTAACGTGCGAGCCGTTCGTATTAATGGGTCATGCTCCGATTCGATTCTAACAACATTGGAAATTATAATTATGCAATGTGTATTTCCAGATTCGGGAAACAACATGCTTATTATTAACCCTCTGTTTGGGAAGGAGGTGCAAGGGATGGGGGTACAAAATTTGGGGGTAAATCCAATTCCCAATAAATATACACCCATTTGGATACTTTTGAACAGTTAGAGGGAGAGCAAAAACACTGTTATGGCAAGCCCCCCAATTTGGGGTGCAGAAGAAAGAGAAAAACTGAAAATGGAAGAGACATAGACGTGGAGCCAAGTTGGAGTAAAGAGAATGGGAAATGAGAAATAAGTGGGGTATAGGAGTGAAGAAAGAAGAATGAATTCGTGGTTGATAAAAATGAGGGAGAAGAGAATGGTGAGGAAGTGGGGCCGGGCAGATGGTAAGTGGCAGTGATTTAGTTTTTTTTTAATAAATAATAATTATTAAATTAAAATTTGCACCCCCTTACTTTATTTTCCAAACAATAATTTATCCTTCAATTTGCACCTCTTTTAAATTTGCTCCCCCTATAACTTACCTCTCAATTTGCACCCTCCTCAAATTTGCACCCCTTGTTGCCAGAGCGTAAAAATTAATGACAAGTCCCTGCAATACTCACTCCACCCGCTCATTCACTCATCGTTAACGCAGTACAGAGCCGAAATTTTAATGCCTGAGCCATTTTCTTATCAATTAATGAACTCCAACGTAAGGGAAGCCCCAGAGATTATGCAGATTTCAGAACGGCGCACCAGAACAACTGCTATAATACAAAACTCGGCCGCACTCTACTATCTAGCTCCCCTGCCTCTGCAGCCGACTCCTAGGCCCTAGCCCAAAAACCCCAATCCCCATTTCTCCCTTTCCCACAATCATCCATTAAAACCCTAATAAATTAATCTTGGCAAAATTCAATTTATAGCCAAAACTTTGACGTTTGTGACAATAATAGCCATTTTTGGGGAAATATCAATAATAGCCAGAATTTTAAAAATTTGATGACAATAATAGCCAGTTCCGTTACAAACTTTAACGGTCTTAGAAACTTAGAAACTCCGTCAGTTAGATTAACGTTAGACTGACTAGGATGCCAAATTATCACACACGTCAGCGACAAGTCATCCATATCATTGCCACATCATTTTGATTTATCTTTTAACAATTCTATGTGGATAAATAAATAAAAATTACCGAAAAAAATTGTAAACAAATATTTTTTTCAAATAGTCTTTTTTTATATGGACTACAATTTTCTTATTTGTGAAAACTAAAAACAAAATATAAAAATATAAAAAAATTGAATTATTCTCTCTCTCTCTCCTTTCTCCTTCCCTTCATCTTCCTCTTCTCCTTCCTCTGTCCCCTCCCACAACCCGTCGCCGCCGACCCAATTTGACAACAATAAATCACCTTCCACACCCCTAAAATTATCCAACTACTCAGCTAAAATTCAAGTCTATTCTTCCTCTTCAAACCCCAAACAAACCCCAACACCAACCCCTGCACAATTGTCGCCGCACAAGCTCACTAGAGGCATTCGTCGCCGAATACGAGGAACAAATTAATCGGCGCCGAATATGAAGGAAAATACGGCAACGATGGTGAGTCAAATTCATCACTCGAACTCCGCTGCTTCTCTGGATTGGATGGTGGTTATTGTCACGCCAACCACAGCGATTCCTGCCTCAGATCTGGATATGAGAAGGGATCGGAGACTAGAAGGGATAGAGCTCATGGGTCAGTAAGAAGAAGAAGAAACCTAGGACCCTTTCTTTTCTCTTCCACTTGGTGAGCGAAGCGAGCAGTGGAGGTCGGTTGGGAGGAATCGAAACGAATATCCCAGATTTGGAGTCGGATGCGAAGAGACAAGATAGCGGTTTCGGGCGGTGGACGAGGATTAGAGGGAGGAGGAGGAGGAAGCGGGGGCGGCGGATTCTGGTCCTTCCTTTCGGATATTTGTCGGCGGTGGAGGTGGGGAGATGGCGAAGGGAAATCGGAACAGAGGGTCGCCGACAATGGAGGTGGGGAGAGGGCGGAAGGGTAGGTTGGGAAGGAGAGAAGGTTGTTTGGTTTATTTATTTATTTGATTTGATTTTCCATAAATCAAAAGACCATCCATTTGATAATATAAAATTTTAATTATTGTTCTTTTATTTAATTTTTTATTATTAAATCCACGTGGGAAATATGTACGGGTCGAAAATCGCCACATCAGACGATCCGTTAGTCCAGTCAGCACGTTAACTAACACCGTCAAACAATTGGACGGAAGTGACTATTTTTGGTATTTCGCCAAATGTGGCTATATTTGGCAATACCGTCAAAGTTTTGACTATACAAGTGTATTTTGCCATTAATCTTCCCCAACATTGAAAATCCAATCCAATCCAATCCAATCCCAACCCGACCCAACTAACCGGCACAAAAGAAGAGAACAAACACAAAGAACCCAATAAAGCTGCAATTCCTTCCATCTCTGTTCCCTCTGCTCATAAAACCCTCAGAAATTCGCTTCAGAAAACCCATGCCTCTCTCTCCTCATTGCTCCGTCCATAAAATCCTACACCTGGTTGCTCTTCTTCCCCTTCCACACAGACCCATTTCCACACACTGCTCTGTTCTTCTTCCTCTTCCGCCATTACTGAATCTCTAGAAGAAAAGAAACAAACTTTTCTTCAATCATGCCTTCCGTGGCCGCCATGGGCGAGACAGCAGCAACGACAACGAAGCGGGGGATGAAACCCTTCATCCACGGCGTCCCGATCACCACAACCGGAGCTTCCACAGCTCTGCAGCAGCAGAATCCTCTGCCGCTGACGCCGGAGCAGGAGCAGCTCCCCTGCCCGCGCTGCGACTCCACCAACACCAAGTTCTGCTACTACAACAACTACAACTTCTCCCAGCCCCGCTACTTCTGCAAAGCCTGCCGCCGCTACTGGACCCAGGGCGGCACCCTCCGCGACATCCCCGTCGGCGGCGGGACCCGCAAGAGCGCCAAGCGCTGCCGTACCTCTCTCACTCCCGCCGCCGCTGCTACTACTACTTCCGTTACCTCTTCCGCCGTCAATAGTCCGGATAGCTCGGCTGGATTCGAGGGGATTGCTTCGCCGTTGCTGGTGGGGAAGCAGGGAGCGACGGCGATGCAGTACGGCAGCGGCGGCGATGGGGTGGGGAAGGCGGATTTCTTCTGGGCAATGGGAGGTCCATTGGGCCTTGGGCTTGACGGGAAAGGGAATGGGCCCGGGTCTCTCTGTGGTAGCTTTACCTCTCTTTTGAGCAATGCTGGGCCTGGGCTTGGAGGTGGTGGTGGGTTTGTTCCGGGGTTTGAAGATGTGGGCTTCGGTCTGGGCCGAGGGATCTGGCCTCTTCATGGGGTGGAAGACGGCGGCGCTGGCAACATTACCGGCGGTGGCAACATTACCGGCGGTGGCAGTACTGGCGGCAATACGTGGCAGTTCGAGAGTGGGGAGAGTGGGTTTCTTGTGGGCGGTGGCGGCGATTGTCTCTCTTGGCCTGATTTGTCAATTTCAACTCTTGGAAATGGACTCAAATGAGTGGTCTTTGGGATATGTAGGGGTCTCTTTGTAATTTGTTCGTTTTAAGGTGGGGGGAGAGGAAAGGAATTGTAGAAGTTGGGGTTTAATAGTTTTAGTTAGTGGTAATGGTATATTAGCTAATATGAAATCAGAGGTAGACAAAAGAAAGTGGCATTTTTGGTGTTGGCTTGAATGCTTCTGTTAGTGACTTTAGTGTTTTTTTTTTGACAAAGGATGTGCTTATATTGCAATCTGGAAATCACGGTTATAAGAGGCGGATTACATCAATGGAACAAAAGCAAAAAGGACACTCTAATAAAAAGGCAGAACAATCAAAGACAAAAGCAAAGCTAGAGAACCAGCCACAAGAAAAAGCAGGCAAGATTGAACTACACAAATATCAGAGAGCCATCACCAGAGCCAAGGAAGTGAACCCAAGAACCTCATGCTTCCACAACCAACAGATCAGCAACAAAGCAGGGTTTCAACTCTCCCAAAACAGACAAGACCATGGCACTTGAAAACACAACGCCATAAGCCGCCTCCTGGGGATCGTTCGAAGACGATCCATCACAGTGAATCACAAGGTTGCAATTACATGGCGGTGGGCAGGGCTGAAACCGGGATGCTCAGAGCTGAAAAAGGTCGAGGATGCCGAAGGCAAGATGGACCGAGAAATGGAGAGACAAAGAACTCCAGCCTAGTCTCAACCGAAACCCAGAACAGTTGCCAATGACAAACGGAAATGACACCGAAACCCACAACAGTCGAAAAGAGACGAGGCTGAGATGCTCACCAACAGTCGACGGCAGGGGAAAACGGCGAATGAGTTCTTCCGAATAGAAGAAACCACCAACAAGGAGGAGTCACTCAAGCACCAGATCTGCAAAAGAGACTCTCCCAGCTGCAAAATCCGAAACCCAAGCAGAGCAAAGCAAGACCAGAGAGGAAAAATCTAGATCCGAGAAGAAGAGCAGCCGCTCTGAAATCTGAAACGCCACATCGGCAGAGAAACCCTAAACAAAAGATCCGGGTGAAAATCGCCAAAGACAAAGGCTTGAACACAAGAGCAAAGGAAAGTACAGAAAAAGAGACTGAGCTGCCGCCGGTCACCAAAAGGAGCCGGCGGCAGCCATGGGAAATGTGAAAAGGAGCTTGCTCCTAGAGAGAGGGGAGAGCGATTTTTGAAAAGGAAAGTAAGAGAGAGAAGCTACTGGGGTTTTTGATTGGCTTAGTGACTTTAGTGTTGATAGTTCGATATGTAACCAAGACCAACTCTTTGTGTAGTTAACATGGTTGAGGTCGGAGTCCTTCGCTTGTTGAACTTATTGCTACACAGGAGATAATTTGATGATTCTTCTTACTCATTTACAATTTGGAGGAGACAATCTTTTAACGGTTAACTAGAATTATTATTTTAGGCTATCAACTAATCTGAAAAACTAATAAGCTCCCCTTTTCAATCATGGTGATCATGATGAGCGTAAGCTGAGTTGGAGGTTTGGTATCGGTATTTGGAATATGTTGAAAATTGTACTAATTTATTGCTAGTCGTTTGGTTCCAGAGATTGAGATCAAAATATATTAAAATATAAAAAAATCTACAATTAATTACCTTCTCAAGTATCTTCTCAATGTAGAAAAATTGAGAGAAGAAATCTTCTTTGTTCTTCTGCTTTATTCAATACATAGGATCACATTTGCCTAGAAATATCATATGGCAAATTTTTTCCGTAAAGTTGGATAGGTCCCAAAGATAAGCATGTCATCTACATATAAACATTTGATGACTCTTTTGTGAGAATCATCCCGTTGTACATACTTTTTTTTTATTAGTTTAACATAAATCACTAGACAATTCAAATTTGTGTAGTACTTCGTAAATATCAAATAGAGAACCATCAAACTCCGACATTTGCAATGTACAATACTCTGCAACATCAAAATCAACTAGGAAGGGATATGCAGTAAACCAACACCATACATTGCCAAACATCTTTCTCACCAAATAAAACTTATAGCCAAGCACCGCAACAATTTTCCAACACATGCCTCGACAATGTTACTACACGGGTGCAGATCCTGTGGCTAGGGGTGCTCAGTTACTTGATTAAGCTCCTCCCAGCCCTTAGATCTTAACACCGCAATCTTATGGTTAAAAAGTGGGAAGGGCTATTTAATTAATGACAGGGTAGTTTGGGTATTATGAAAAATTACGAAATATACAAATCATACTTACAATCAGTACAAACCATACAAACAATACAAACTACAACGACAAAACATACAAACAGATTTACAAACATTACAAACGTATGAACTGTACAAACAATACAAACTAGACCGACAAACAATACAAACCATACAAAAAGAAAAAATGACTCGTGTGAAACTACGCCACAAATTAATCCCAACTAGAGCTCGAGTTCTTAAACTCTAGCCGAGTGCAGTATTTGGCAAGTATTTAATTGTCAAACCCGGTCCATGTACCCCTACTTCAATCGCTTAAGTTGTTATCTAGCAAAACAGTTTTGGGTTTAAAACTGTGAAAAATACAAATGAAAACAAGTAAGGAAAGTAAATGGAGGAGAATTCTACTTGAGAGATCTTCACCTAGGTATTGCTCCCCCTAGTCTCATGCTAAGAAGCGACAAACAAAGCTCTAGTGAGAAGGACGTATTCATACACCGCTAGGTGGCGCAACTAGCTAGGGACAAACTTCCTTAGTCGATCAATGAAGGAAAATCAACAAATATAAGCTAGGGGGACTAGCTCTCTCAACCGTTAGGTCAAGAATTAAGATTCGTAGCTAGAGAGTCTAGCCCTCTTTATCGATTAACCAAGGAGATCCCTAACTCTCTCTTACTTAGCTAATTGAGAGTCGTTGCAACAAGTTAGGAAGCTAACTCACTAACCCTTCGGCTAAGGGTGACAACGATAGGCTACGGAACCTAACCCTCTCAACTAGCCGGCTAAGGATTGCAAACCAAACCCTCGGAACTTAATTCGGTCGGCGGAGAGACCTATCCCAGTGGAATCACGGCCCTACTCCTATATTTGAGATTTTGATCTTAAATTGACCTAAAGGAGGTTACCCAAGTGGCTAAGGAGTCTAGCTCCCAATTGGACCAAGAGGGGATTTCCACCCTCTAGGTTAACTTCACCCAATATTAAGTTAAAGCTCGCACACTCAATCATTCATGAATATTACCTCAAATAACATATAAAACACTCAATCAACACAATAGCTTCATGTTCTTGCAACCTAACACATAGACATACTAGGATTCACAATACCCAAGTGAGTAGGTAGACTATTCCATAGCTAAACAAGAGAAAACAACAAAAAGTGAAGAAATAACCATGAAGTGATGTCAATCTTTCCTCTTTGTTGCTTGAGACACCCTTGAGATGAAGAAATCTTCAATCCTCTAGCTAGGAACAATCCCAAAGCTCCTTCTTCCTCCTTTGATTTGCACTTTCTCACTCTAGAAGAAACCCTAACCTCTCACTAGAATCCTCTTTATTCTGAAAAATGAAAACCTAACCTAAAAATGAAGCTCCCTTCTTCTTCCTTTCAGCTCCTCATTTAAACCCAAATCGAGCCCAGTTCACGGCCTTGCAGTTCATGGCAGTGAACTCCTCAACGCGTCCATGAACTCGGAGTGCCGTGTCGACACGCACCGCTTCACTCAGTTGAGTTCACAGCTTGCACTCAAAGTTCACGGTCTTGGTGACCGTGAACTCACCCGGTGTTAGTAACCTCTGAATTCGCCCGAGACGCCTTGTGGTTCACGGTTTATGGCTCCAGTTCACGGCCATAGAGACCGTGTACTCTAAGCTTTGACTGTGAACTGCGGCTGCTTCTTGGACGCCTGCGCTTCACTGTTACGAGTTCAGACTTTTCTTCGGTTTTTGCGCTTTTTTACCTCCAATTATCCCAAAATTCGACCTCGACCCTTCCACACGTGCTAGGACCTGAAATGTATCAAAACAAGCACAACCTATCGTGAAATATGTCGAGGAACGATGAAATGAAAAGTCAAACTATCAAGAAATGAGGGGCAAAATGTTTACATTTGGACCCGAATCACCCCCCCCCCCCCCACACACACTTGAACGTTTGCTTGTCCCCAAGCAAACCATTTTCAACCTACAAAGATAGCTAGGGCACATTTCAAAAGGCACAAGGCTGTGAATCTCAAATGACTATTTGGGCATCGACACTGAAACCGTCTCAAACAAATCCTGCATCCACCACTAATGACATTCAATTGCATCAAAAATGGGCAAATGAAAAGTTCTCATTCTATCCACAATCAATGCAAGTCTCAACCTGGCCACTAATCAATCACAACCGAACATGCATAGAACTCAAGTCAAAGGAACAGACAACGGGGCAACATAGGTCCTCACCGGGATATATATGAACATGCAAGAACAAGCCCACTTAATTATTGTCAATGTAGGGCTTGTTTGATGGATTTGGATCCATCGTTAGTTTTGTCTAGACTCTATTGTTTGTTTCATTTATTCAGGGCAACATATCTATGGGGACCACCAGTGGCGGATGCAGCATTTTAAACCACCACTGTCCTCTTTTTATAACTTAAATATATAAGTATCTAATTAAGAACTATTTATAAAAAAAAATTAAAAAAAATTATATCAAAATTATTCATTTATAGATTAAAAATAACCGACTATATATACAATCATAGTTTTCACTTTTCAAAAACAAAGACGAAGGGATTTCGTATTGTGAAAGAAACGCAAAAATATTTGTTGTATACACTATTAAATAAGTCTCTTTCAGTGTATCTTGCTAAACAAGCATTAGCAAACTGGTCGCAAATCGACTTGGAAACTTGTTCTTAATATAACACAAAGCTGAAAATGCTCTTTTTACACTTGTAGTTGTAATTGGTAGAATCAAAACTAGTAAATTGCCGTTGTCGCTAAACAACTTCAGGGTTGTAGGGAAAAGATCGAATACACATAAGGATAAAAGAGATCTA